CATGCCACGCGTGCGCCCGCGCTCGTGACCTCTTGAGCCGTACTTGCCCTTGCGCTCGAGGCTGTGCGGGGCCACGCGTGCGAATTCCTGTCCGCAGGCCTGTGAGCATGTATGTGTGCGTATGTTCATGCGCGAATATATGCTTGTGCACAGTTTGTTTTGACGTTGTTTTGGCAGAGCCTATGGGACATTTATTGTGCGACATCAAAGACGTGTTCCGAGCCTTTCGCCGCGGAACGCGCGCGGCGGGCCGACATTGCTTAGGTTTTGTATCGCCGCGTGGCGTGATCTCGTATGTATGATGTTGGAAAGCTGAAAAAGTACGATCTTCTGGAAACTGACATTGAACTTGGCATAATTGGGCCCAACGTACAAGCTAGTGCTTAGCATTGGATCTGTTGTAACGCTCATTCAGGTAGCGTGGACGCTACAGAAGCAGTGGAGCATAAGGACCGGGCATGCGACCGCGTTACGCAATGGCCATGGATGGGTCTCAGGGCACCGTGAAGAAATTACGTTTTGTTAGCGGATAGTAGGTTTTTGCGCCAACAAACACGTGATCGCAAGGCATGTTCAGCAAGCTGTGACCATCGACATTGTGTTGTGCACGGCAGTACGAGAAACTAGATAGTATGCGCATCTTGAAAGACTGAAGTTCTAACCAAACAATGCCAGATTAAACTGTCGTTTGCGCTCCTTTGCTTTTTAAAACATCCGTTTGATGAGGGCGGAAAGTTAAACAATTTATGTCATGGCAAAAGACGATGAAGGAAAAGGTTCGTCCTCACCAGTTAGCGACTCCTGACGTCACACAGAACGTCCGGACGAAGCCAACCGACCCAACGCCACACAACCTGCCGTGCTGGAAAATCCCACGTTCGGAAATAACCGGGACCCTGATGATGGTCTGACCGTTTGGACCTCTCGTACTTGTCTTCGAGCTGTTTGTGCCTGCCGAAATGCATCGTCTCATCTGTGAGAGCATCGGCGTCCAGCATAGCTTTCGAAACAGTTGGGGTTTGTTGGGTGGTGTTTTGCATGTTGGTTGAGGTCATGCATCGGCGAGCTTGGGCACGTCATTATTCTGAAACAGCAGCCTGCGAGCTGGCCTGGTGTTCTCGAGCGTGCTGTTCAGCTTGCGGTGAAGTGTCGGTGTCGGCCCAGGTGAAATGTCGGCCAGACTGCGGGTCAGGCTGTCGAGCTCCGGACGCGATGACCTGGCTGGTCTCCGCGCTCACTTTCAAGGCATCGGCACGGAACCACACGCCGGGGCGGAGCGAGGGCTGATTTCAGCCGGGTAATGCGATTATGAAGCATTGCCTTTCTATCGCTGACCTAGTGCGGAGCTGCGCAGTTTTTCGTGTAGGAAGAGGAAGATGGGACAATCTGGTTGGAAAAGAGAAGCAGTTTGTAAAGACAAAAACTTCGATTATGTTTACAAGAGATTCTGCAATTTATATTGAACATAACCAAGGAAGATCCCAAGCTCTGCTCGATGCGACCCCCCTAAGGTTTTTGAAAGATACCTCTCCGACATTATGTGCAATCGCGCCCAAATTTTCAGTAGCCCATGGGACATCTATTGTGCGCCACCAAAGACGTGTTCCGAGCCTTTCCGGTTTCTGAGCAGCGGCGTTTTTTAGGAACGGCGCACGGCGGGCGGGGAGGGGGCGGGGGCGGGTGGCAGCCGGCGATGCCGCGGAACGCGCGCGGCGGGCCGACACTGCTTGGGTTTTGTATCGCCACGTGGCGTGATCTCGTATGTATGATGTTGGAAAGCTGAAAAAGTACGATCTTCTGGTAACTGACATTCAACTTAATTATCGGGTCAGAATTATGTATATATATATATATATATATATATATATATATGTATATATATATATATATATATATATATATATACGTAATGATAATGGGCGAAATTGGGTCCAACATACAAGCTAGTGCTTAGCAAGATACGATCTAACAACATCAAAATAGAACCAAGCTAGTATGCGATACTAACTAGTACTCAGCTAGTATCGCGAGATCTCGTTGGGACCAATCCACTGGTGTTTTCCGCTAAGCTCTATCGTGACTAGTTTGGAAACGCCAGGGGGTCGCATCCCTCCTGCCTATCAGTCTGCGTTATGAAAAGCGGCCAATCGGGGCGAGGGTTAGCTGGCGGGACGGGCAGAGGCCACGTTTTGGTATGTGCGCGTGGGGCGAGCCGAGGACCCTGCGTCCTCTCGCCGGAGGCCGACCGTGTGCAGGTGGGCGGGGTCGCGCCGTCTGCTGGGAACGTTCTGCGGTCTGGACCGACTGGGCGGGTCCGGCGCTCAAGGAAAACGCGCCAGCTAGAAGCTGCATGCTGTTCCGGCCCGACCAAGGTGATTCGGTTCCCTCGCCCGGACAGGCGTGATCCCGTCTGTCTCTTCACTGTTGCGTGACCTTCCCAGCCGCGCTCGAGCCCGCGTGGTGGCGTGGTACGGGGCAGCGCGCCTGGTAGGTTGGCGGGCGGGGCGTTTTCTCCAGGGTAGGCTAACACCCGCTGCAGATTATGACGCCGATAGTGGAATGTGCCGCCGTCGGTTGAAGCTGAGCACCGTTCCTTCATACTCGGTTCGTGTACGGTTTGATGACGCTTGAGGGCGGGCGGAACCGCCTGGCGGTCTTTGTGTAACTGTACACACCTTAAGCATATGCAGATTGCATCCAAACACGCCGCCTGCGGGGAGGGCGGGCGGCCCGTCTCCCCGCCGTCCGCCCCGACCCGCCGAGCCGCGGCTGACCCCTGGGGTGGGCTGGTCGACCGGCCGCGCTCGACCCCCGTCACACCTGACCGCACCTTCCGTGCCGGGCCTCTCGGGAGTGGACGCGTGCCGACCTGACTCGGCGCGACCGGGAGCGGGCCGGCGGGGCGGCGCCGACCTGCGCGCCGACCGCAGCTGGGCAGAGCGTGTCGCCTCGCGCGCTTTCTATCGCCGCGCCGGCGGGCCGGGCGGTCGACGTGTGCCGCTTGCACCACGGCCGCGCAGGGCGTGACGTCACCGGATGACGGGCGCGCTCGCTCGCCGACCTGCCGGCGGAAGGGTCAGGTCACGCGACGCGGGCCCGGCGGACTCGGGCCCGCTGTCCCGTGGACTGGAGGTGGTGGACTGTTGGGGCTGAGCCGCGGCGTCTGACTGACAGACTCACGAGTCCCGTCTCCAGGGACCCACGGACTCTTCCTCGGGTACGCCGGAACTTGCCAAGCGTACAATTGTGTAAGCAAGGGCATTTTTGTTATCGCCGGATCACTCTTTCCATTAATCCTTTGTATGCATTTAGTGGCGGCCTTCCCGGCCCTTTCCCTCCTAACCAGGATCTCTGTCCAGCTGACGGATGTAATCCATACCGAATCACGTGGAACAGTGAGGAAATTGGGGTTGCGTTGACTGCCGTTGTTTGGCCCGGCCGTGACGTGGCTGAATGCGAGCCGGCGTTCCGGCGGCGGGTCCGTCGATCGGCGGCGTCGCCCGAGCGCTGCCGGCCGACAGGACCGCTAACGAGCTTTCGACCGCTTCCGTTCACCTGGGGCCCGCCATGTGCCGTCGATCGCTGGTCACTGAGCTGCAAAAGCCGGGCAGCTGGACGGAGCTCAGGTGCTTGCCGGTGAACAGCGGTGAGCTGACGCACGGGGTAGAACGTGACCGTGCTAAATTATGCGCTGTTCAGCCGGCGTGCGACGAACCCGACTCGATGCAGTCTGGCCGGGCGCAATCGGAGCACAATCAGACAAGGCTCATGGTGTCCAGATCTACCGGAACGTGGCATAACTTGCAGAGCGCCCCCCTGAAGCGACGTGGCCTGTCCGACTTTTGTTGGCGAAGGCAGGGGCGCAGGACAGACCTGTTGTGCCAACGACAACAATGCCCGGACAAAGAGCACGTGCGTTCCGACTGAGGAGGCTCACCTCAATGTCGACTTTGTCCAGTGGCCCTTTCATTGTTGTTGCGCAAACAACCCTGGCAGCGGCATGACAGCTTGGTCTCACAACAGCTTTGCTTGCAGTTCGGCACGGTATAATGTCGCGTTTGATTACCGAGTGGTGCGCCCGTGAGCTTCAGCACGAGTGCGCCACGGAATTGTCATACTCATGGTTTTTAAATTCCCCTGTGTCGGCTCTCATGAGCGGCCCAGTTGCCCACTTCGTGTCCTGCATCGCGAGAACGGCCCATTTTCGTTGATCGCGGCTATTAGCCGTATCCGAGGCTTTTTTGATCGAACCCGACACAGAGCGGAGGCCTCGGCCATGGGAACTCGACCCGGCTCTGACCCACATGAACCACACGCCGGTCGCCCCGCTGGGTGCCGTGCTGTGCATTAATAATCGGCGGGCCGACATCCGCCGGCCAGTGCAGACAGTTCCGTACGCTGCCCCCGTTCGGTCACGCTCGGCCGCCGTCGCCGGCCGGCGGCGGTGGGTCGGGTGTGTGCGCCGCGCCGCGCCCCGACAGAGGGGCAGGACGGGGCCGGGTCACAGGCGGCGTGGCGCTTTCCTCTCCCGCGCTCAGGTGGCGCCAAGGTCGCCGGCTCGTCCTGGGCCGGCGTCTGACCTGGCTCGGGGGCTCGGTTGGTCCACACTGCACGGTTCAGTGCGCTCGGGTCCTTCGGGTGGCCCCGCCCGTCCCGTGCCCCCTGCCCCCCCCCCTCCCGTCTCCCTGCCCGAACCAGAGCACCCCAATCCGCGGGCAGATGGGAACAGGTGATGTGCCGATGAGGTGCGCTTCACGGGGGTCTTACGTGACTTCTCATCAGTCTGGCTGAGGGCGTCACGCCGACTGGGCTTGCGCGGTTGGGGATTCTCATGATTGGTCACCTGGCGCCACCTGGAACACTAGTGCTCGTTGCTGCAGTTTGGCTTCCTTACGTTACGTGTTTGTGTCGTGTGTCCCCTGTCGTCACTAGGACGAGCCGAAGCCCCGCCACGGCCGAAGCGCAGGACGCCCGCTGACGCGTGCTGATCATTTTCGCAGGCAGAGGAGGCCAAGCAGAGGGCGGAAGAGGTCTTCGAAGAGTGCTCCGACACCGCTAAGAGCGAGGTAGGAGAGGAGCGAGGTAGTGCTCCGATACGTACCCCCCCCCCCTCCCCCGCCCCTCTCCTACGGCCGGCTGCTGCCCGGCACCACCTCATCAGCATGTAGTTCCGCCTGCGGGTTGGTTGCTACATTCCCCGAGCTATGTAATCGCGTTACCAGCTGTGACGTGCGGGGTCCCGGCGGCGCAACATATGCCAGGCGTAAGCGGTGCCCTACTCTGGGTTGTGTTGTCAGCCTGCCAGCTGAGCGATTTGCTGATTGTCGGCGGTCTGTGTGTGTTTTTGTGGCGCACAAGCGTCAGCGTTTGCCCTCTGCTTCGTGGCTGGTGTGACTCAGTTCTGCCGAGTCGACATGCATGACGCTGCCGGCCACCGGTAGAACGGGCGTCGTTCGTCACGAATAGGAAAGTGACGGTTCTGCCGGTCTCCCACGCGGCGTGTGGTCCTGTCCACCGTGCCCTACGCGGGAAGTGCTGCTGTGTGGAGCAGTTGCCGCGTGTGGTCCATGATACCTTTGCGTGCATACCTTTTGCCATCGGTATCGCTGTGGTCGTCTGCGGTGGTCCGTGGCGGTTCGTACCGTCTTTTATATTGTATGTCGCGCTGCACCCTGTGCGGTCCGCCTCTGCACGGGTCAGCTGTACCCGCCCAGTGTGTCCGGTGAGCAGCCTGTGACCTGCGCCGTGCCCAGCACTACCTGCACCCCGGCGGTGCTGCGCGGTCTCCGGGTGCCGGCCGGCCGCTGACCGCCGCGTCCCGTCCCGGCCGCCAGATCCGCACGCTGCACCGGCTGCGCTCGGCGGAGCTGCTGGCCGGCCTGGGCGAGCTGGCGCGCTCGCAGATCCACGCCGCCCAGATCCTGCAGGCCGAGCTCAGCAAACATCTGTCCAGCATCCGTCAGTTTGTCGTGCCCGAGCCGGGACAGCTGGGCCGGCCGCTTTAGTGCCGCCCGGCGCGGCGCGGCCGGCGTGGCTCGGCTCGGCTCGGCTCGGCTCGGCTCGGCTCGGCTCGGCTCGGCTCGGCTCGGCTCGGCTCGGCTCGGCTCGGCTCGGCTCGGCTCGGCTCGGCTCGGCTCGGCTCGGCTCGGCTCGGCTCGGCTCGGCTCGGCTCGGCTCGGCCCTGCGGCTCGGCCCGGCCGGCCGGCCCGGCCCGGCCCGGCCGGCCCGGCTCGGCCCGGCTCGGCTCGGCTCGGCTCGGCCCTGCCCGACCCGGGCCAGCCCACCTACTGGACATGGTCAGCTCGCCGCGTGGGCGTGCAGCTCTGGACTTCTGACCGCAGCTTGTGACGGACGCGGCCATCGCCCGACTAATGGACGCGCCCTTCCCACGTTCGTCTGGCGCGGTCGCATGCGCGTTGCGACGAACGCTTTCCTTTCGGAACGACCGCGGCCAACCGCTGCAGCGGGCGTGCAATCGAATTCGCCGCAGCGGCAGCG